GCAGCCATAGAACCAAAGAATCACAGAAGCACTTTGGTTGGAAAAGACCTTTAAGATCATTGAGTCCAGACAAAAACCTAACTCTGCTAAGTCCACCACTAAACCATGTCCCTAAGCACCACATCTACATGTCTTTTAAACACCTCCAGGTACTGAAATGCCCAGTTGGGGGGTCCCAGCCAGCAGTACCCCGATGCACCTCAGCATCCTGCCCCATCAAGCTCTCCTCCAACCGCTCTCCTCTGTCTCCTTCTCCCATCCCTGCAGGGACGCAGGAGCTGTAGGACAGTGGTATAGTCAGAGGTGCAAGGTCCTGCAGCCAAGAATCAGGGTGTAGGTGGCACAGGGGACACCCTGAGCATGCCCTCCTCGACAGCTTGATTTGGTGCTCCCCACCACATCCCACTACGATGGGGCAAAGCATCCTCGTAGCAACAGCGCTGGTTCACAATGAAAGATTTATCAGGTGCCTTAGGGCCAGGGAAGCTGGCAGCTAAAGAAGTGGCAGCTGGCACTTGTCCTTCCATGCACAGGGAGAATAGGGCTGGTACAGACAAGCCCCACATCTTCACGTGGGTATTTTGCTGATGGCATCATTACTAACACCTTGCAGACACCCTCCTGCCCCAGGGTGTGTTACCCCAACCCCAAGGAGCTGAGAGCAGAGGGAAGCTCTCACCACAGGGCAAAGCCCAACAGCTAAAAAGGCATCTGGCAAGCCCTGCTCACCACCTCCAGACATATATTCCTTGAGGTTTTTAATAAAGCAGTGCCCCTCTGGGCCTCGCAGCCACTTCCCGGGCCCCATTTGTCCTCTGGTGTCAGGCACAGCGCACATGACGCCGGGCTGGAGGGTGATGCGGCAGAACGTGACTGTCTGGGGGAGGTGGTATCAATCTTGTTGCAATGAAAGACTCTTTCTCTTTTCTCTCTCTTTCCCCCTCTCCCCGTGCTAATTAAGCCCTCATCTTCGTCTGAGTCATTGGCACCACGTCTCCTGGTCGGCCAGCGCAGGAGCTGAGATGAGGCTCTGCAAGGGGAGTAGCACATCTCCAAGGGGGAGAGAAAGCCACTGTGCTGAAGGTTTCCTCAGGAACCTCAGCCCAGTGTCCCCACCACCCTGACACTGAGCCCAAGGCACAAAGGGTGATGCCAGCACATCCTGCTACAGGCACCAGGAGAGGGATGCTGTGGGCACAGACCCCAGTGCTGAGGAACACCCAGCACACAGCAGCAATAAGGACTTTGAGGGTGGGGAAAGCATCTGGAAAGACTCACCACCCTCCTCCTTCAGCACCATGGAAACCACACATACCTTCTCAAGGTCCTGCACTTTTCAAGAGCCTGAAGTCCACCACCAGCCCCTTTCCTCAGGGCCATGGGAGAAGTGAGCACAGGGAGGTGGGAGTGATACGTGAGAATCTTGTACAGCCAACACTCATCACCACTCTCCAGAGACACCCAGGCCACCGTGCTCTGCTCTGACAACTCCATTTGCCGTGGCATTAGTGCTTCAAGGCACTGTGCACCCCTCACCCCAAGCTTGTCTGGGCTTCAGCTCCCTGCCATCCATCCCAGGACTGCTCACCCTCAAAACTGGCTCCTGCCCAAAAGCCACAGGCATAGGGGATGCAAAGCAGATGAGCTCCTTTCCTACAGGTGAAGAAGACATCTTCCCCCAGGGCTAGGCTATCACCATCCCTTCTCCTTTGGCCTTCTCCCTTCCAGCAATGCTCAGCAGGAGATAGAATGGGAGATGGGGATGATGATGGAGCAGAGGGCTCCCAGGCTATGAGCCAGTGACACCAGCAGCAGTGCTCAGACCACCTCTTCCCACTGCATTTTGTGGGCATAGTCAAAGCTGGTGGCACCAGGGACCTGCAGCCAGGAAAACTGAGGCAGTAGCTTGTCAGTACCCCAATGGTACAGGCTGTCTGTGACCCCAACTTCTACATACATTTGGGTACCCAGCTCCAGTGGGGATGGAGGTAAAGGGGATTAGAGAGATTTTAGGGGGCTTTGGGGGTTACACGTCCAGCACTCTAACAGCCAGCAGCTCCAGGAGGGGCATTGCTGGGGAGCTGTGCCCATGGACCCCACAAACCTAAGGACATACTACTGGTCACTGTGAGCTCAGGGATGGTCCCAGCTACCCAGGCCAATGCCAGCCCTGTGCCAAGCAGCTACACGAGTCCTCGTGGCTGGTGCCAGCTTTGCTGGGACCCCCCAACCCCAAAATAAAATCTCCCAGGGCACATCTCAATGTTCCCTACAAAACCAGGAGCTGGTGATGCCCAGCCAGGATGTGGTGCCTCCAGCCCATCATCTGGCACCTGCTCAGCCACTCCAACTGCCAGAATTTGCCCTTTAATTCCCCAAGGAGCTGGAAGAGTTGCTCCAGCATCTTTGCAGCACCCAGGTTGCAGAGGCCTCAGCCAAGAGGACTTGTTTGGGAAACACAAGGGGTTTGGCATTTCACATGCTCTGCGTCTTCCACTGCTTCTCTAGCCCATGGTGGAGAGTGTGACCACAAAGCATCTAGTGCAACAGGACATCAGCACGCAGAACAGTGTGTGTGCATACACAAACACACACGAGTGGGTGTATTTCCATCTCTCCACTCTCAAAGCTGAAGCACATCTGCCCAAGAAGCCACAAGAACCATGCCATACCTGTCTGTGTTTGCCTGCAGGAGGACACAGACTGCCAGGGTTTTGCAGAGTTGTTGAGTCCAGGCTCCATTGCGTCACACAATCTGTCCCAGACTTTTGTCAATTCTACCTTAAAAACTCTCTATTCCCACTGGAAGGTTTCTCAAGCAGGTTCTCTTATGGCTGCTCTAATTTTCAGCCTAAATTAATTTGTGATCATTTTATATATCCCTCTGTTCTTTTACCAGCATTGGCCTTTGGCTGAAATACTGTTTCCCATCCTGATGTGTTTGTAGATAGCCACCATGGCCATCCCCAGCTGCTGCTTTGCTAGCCAAAGCAAGGTTCTTCCAATTCTCTCTTGCATGACTGCCTCCCCTTCCCTATTTTATCTAGTAGCTCCTTCCCTGCTCCATTCTGGGTTCAGTTCATATTCCCTAGATGCAGGAAATCCAAGTGAGTGATCCTGATGGGACCCCACTCCAACCCTGGATGATGCTACCTCTGCCTGCAAACCTCCCTGCTCCTCAGGGCACTGCTGGCCTGCGGTCACCCTGCGCTCCCTCGCTCATCTCCTCCTCCTCCACACTGCTGCTTCCCAATCAGCAAGACCTGGGCTTCTAGGAAATATCTTTGCTGTTCCTCAACAACCACATGGTTTTCCATTTCTCACTGCATCCCACATCTCTTCCTCCAGCCCACAAACTGCTCCAGCACATGGTGGTAACCTCCGTGCCCCCAGCTCCAGGAAGCCAACCAATGCTGGAAGCAGGAAAGCCCATGACTCATCCCCAAGGAGCCTTGACACTGGTCACCACCAGCCACTACCTCCCCAAAACACCACCCAGTGCCGTCCCACTGCTGCTCACTTCCCTGCCAGCCTTGCAGAGCTCCTCTTCTCCTTCCCCTCTTCTCTGCTTCATTAACACTTTCCCATAGCAAAAGCTTTACTACAAAGAGCAGCTCGACACGTTTCCAGGTCTCCGATGCCAGGTTAGCCTGGCGTGACCTACCTTTGGCAAACCCATGATTCATTTTCCTCTTTTGCCTTCCAAATCTGTTCTGAAATGGCATGCGATCGAGGTCAGGCTTACAGTCCTATTCCTGCCTGACTTACTTCCCCTCCGCCCCCCCCACTTCCTCCCCCTGCTTTTAAATATAGGCATCGCATTCGCTATTCTCCAGTCAGATGGTGCCTCCCCCAACTCGATGGAGTTGTTAAAAATACTTGTTACCAGACCTGCCATTTCATGTGCCAGCTCCCTCCAAGCATGGGGAGGGGAAGCCATCCTGAACGCCAGGCTGATGGGTGCGATGGTCTTGGCACTTGGCTTCCACTCGTGCTCGTGTCCTCATTCCCAATATCCAACCCTTTTTGTTGCCTCCATCTTGGTGTTGACCAAAAGCTGGGTGAAATATCCATCCGTGCCCAAATCTCCCCAGCAGTCACTTCACCATGCCTCGCTTCCATCTGCAGAGGTGGGGAACTGCTCACTGCCCCTTGGAGCTTCCTTCACAAGGTCCATGTTGGCATGACTTTAGCAGCTCCCGTAGCACTCTTCAACTTCTTCAGCACCAGAACATAGTTATCTTGACTGAGTATCCTCTTTTCCCATCCCTTTGGAGCATCATTTGTTCTTAATATCTCCCCATAGGCAGTGCACCATCACCATGGTCCACTGGGCCTTCCCACCATTTTTTCCCCTTTGCTGAAGGTACCACGAGGCCATTGTGTGCAGAGGTCAGTGTAGACATATGGAGTTTAACCTCCAAATTACACAAACACTGTAACTCCTTTAATGAAGAAATTCCTGGCTCCTGTGCTGAAGACCAAGTCC